AAAAAAAAAAAAAAAAAAAAAACACCAACCACAATCGTCACTCAGTCTTGGCCTCATCTTGTGCCCCAGATTCTACCACATTTGCTGCAGAAGAATCAAAACCCGTGCCACGAACATCGACCTTTTCGGCTCGAATCTCCTCCTCAAGAAACCCGATCAAGATTCTCAATGCATTAGCAACCTCATCTTTGTTAAGTATCCTCTCACCCATTCCCTTACGAGCTTCTTCTTTAACTTTCTTCAAGATTTCATTGGTCACCTCAAATTTTGCTGTTTCTATTTCCTTTTTCTGCTCGAGGAACTTAATCAGGCCCTCGAGAGCAACTGTGGGCTCTTCGCTTTTCAGAAGCTGCTCCCCAATTTCAGCTGGGGTCACTCTTGTCGAGGCTATTAGTGACTCGATTTTGGGCATGAGCGGGTGGTTCGTTTGCCCGAGATAGTTTTTTGCCAGCAATTGGAAGCCACATGGAGTGCAGTAGGACATGTGAATATGGACATCCATACGGCCGGGCCTTAAAAGGGCTGGGTCAAGTTTTTCTTTATGGTTGGTCGTGAAAATTATGATTCGTTCGTCCCCACAGCTTGACCATAGCCCGTCAATGAAATTCAGCAGCCCTGATAAGGTAACCTAGAAAGAACAGTGTGGTATATTATATTAATAATGTCTTAGTTTCGAGTTCATGTCAAAGTTTGTAACACAAATTTAGCATATATCAATCATAACCGAATAACGAATGCCTTAAGGGAACCATATACATGCCTAAATCCATCAAATGAGCATGAACAGAGCATGAACAACTACATCATCTCATAACAACCTTTTCTTGAAAACACACACTCACAGAAAGAGATAGAACAATATATTTCTAGTAAATATTGAATATAAAGGCTGAAAAACTTGCCTTTTGTCCTTGATTACCATGGTGAGGATACACAGGCATTGGAGGCATCTTCTTCTTCGCAGAAGAATTCCTCTCCGACAGGTCGATAGACGCATCAATGTCCTCCACGACAAGTATCGACCGATTCTCAGTCAAAAGCAGCAGCCTCCTTAGATCCGAATTGGTTCTTATATCCGCTAGCTCCAAGTCATAAACATCGAAATTTAGGTGGTTAGCCATGGCAGCAATCAAGCTCGATTTACCAGTCCCTGGAGGCCCGAACAGTAGATATCCCCTCTTCCAAGCCTTCCCAACCCTCCTGTACAGCTCCTTCCTCTTCAGAAACCGGTCGAGGTCCTCGATTACAGTGCCTTTGACCTCGTTGTCCATAGCTAGTGTTTGGAAATTCGCCGGATGGTCGAGGCTCACGGACTGCCATGGACTCCGGCCACGGTCATTTGCCAGTGTGTGGAGCTTAATCGTCTTCTTCTCCTCCTTCACGGCCTTCGACTTCTTGATCACGTGCGGCAGGTACTCGTCGATGATTAGGTCCCGCCGGCTCCTGTGGAAGGTCAGCTCCAGGTGCCGGGTCTCGACGCTCGAGTACTTGTCCGGGTATCGGCCCGGGCCGCGCCTAGACGTGGCCACCATCCTCCACCGGACCCCCGCCCCGCGGAACGAGTCGGCGACCTCCACGTCCCGACCGACGGTGACATGGATCTTACGCTCCTTGTCAGGGAGGATGGCCCGGAGGGACCGGGCAGTGGGGCCTGCGATCGAGCCCGTGTAGACCTCGGCGGCGAGGAACAGCTGGTTGCTGGACAGGCCGTCGTACTCGTCGATGACGAGGGTTACCTCAGCCGAGAGCGCGTTGAGCGCGTGGCGGAGCTTGGTGAGGAGGAGGCCGCGGAGCTCGCTGGGGACGAGGTCGCGGGCGAGGGAGCGGACGAGGACGGCGGTGGCCGCCAGGGAGGCGGCGGCGGAGAGGGCTTTCGTGGCTGAAGGGAGCTCGAATTTCGGGTACATGGCGCTGAATTTCTTGCTCTTTTTTTCGGATTTTTCTCCCCTTTTTTTTGGGCAAGCTGTGGGCTATCTATAAATAGTGGTGAACTGTGTGAAATGAGAAAATGGGAGAAAGACAGAGAATGTATAGGAGAGAGAGAGAGAGAGAGAGAGAGAGATGGTGGCGAGAAGATGAGTGTTGAGGGTGTGTTTTCCGGGGTCTTTCCTTGTTTGGTTGCTTGTGAATTGGTTTTGGAATTTGCATTGACTGGACTTGCGTTTACTTGGGGACTGGGGTGGAAGGAGATGATTGAACCAAACAGGGCCTAACGGACTCACAACTTACAGTTTTATGGTACTTTTCGGATGGAAGGAGAAGAAGATGACGATGGTGATTGTTTGCTATATGGAGAAAGATTTATTTAATTCGGGGTCGAAGATTAGCATGGCCATGTGCACAAGGATGATACTAAATTGAAAAATAGTATTTATTGTAAATTTAATATAAATAATATTTACTGTAAAAAAAATTGGAATTAATTAAGCCATCTCATCCAAGCGCTCTTGGGTTAATTAATTACTTATTTAAATTAATAACTTTTTAAAATAAATCAAAGCTACCTACAATTAAATATAATCCGCCAAAAAGCCTGAATAAAAAAATAAAATTTGTAGCTGTATTTTAAATATTAGTAACTTTTTAAAATAAATTAATCTATATATATTTATATATAATACACATGGCTTTAAATAGCGCGTTATAGCGGCGCTATAGCGCCGCTATAGCGGCTCAGATCAGCTAACGCCAAACTATTGTTGTTTTTGCCGCTATTCACGCTATTCGCGCTATAGCGGCGCTATTTGACGCTATATAGCGTCAAATAGCGCCGCTATAGCGTCAAATAGCACGAATAGCGGCAAAAACAGCCTGGCGCTACTATGTGATAGCGGCGCTATAGCGTCGAATAGCGGCCAGAAATGCCTGACGCTATTTTCCATAGCCCGCGATAAAAAACCATGATAATACATTAAAACTATGAATTAAAAATGAAATTTTATTGGCGTATTTTCAATTTTCTTTTTTAGAAAATGAAAAGACTAATTATTTATATTCGTATTTTTTTTTTTTTTAGTAGCCAGCCACGGTATCTGGAGTTATGCCCCGACTAATCCGTTGGTCGCTTACCACTTGAATCAACTCATGTTGGTTCTTTTCTTATTAATACTTAGGGGAGATGCTACAGTTCCGTTATAGAACTATTCCGTCGGGGTTTGTAAACCGTTAGATCAACTATCTACGACGATTATATAATGATCTAACAGTTACAAATCTCGACGGAATGGTTCCGTAACGGGACATTAGTATTTCCCAATAATATTTTTTTATTCTTATTGTTGAAGATGAAGAATTTGGTAATATTTTAAAATAAAAATTGGATTTTAATAAATTCAAGTCCCTAACGTCAGTTTCAAATTGATACAATAAAATTGATATAATATATATTATTTTACTATTGGAAAATGAATGATTTTGAATAACGCTATTTGGTAAATTATTATCATTTTATTTTTCATAATCAGCGTTATAGAAATTCAATTCAAAATTATATAATTATTTATTAATATTATTAATTAATATTTTTTATGTCCTTTAATTTATTACTAATTCATTACCATTTTTTTGTTGTAATTCTTAATTATAAAGTTGAAAATTGTGGTAATAACTTTAAAATCAAATTTAATTTGTGAATAAAATCAAGTCTCTAAAAGACACCAATTTAAAATGGATATAGTATATATTTCTTAATATTAGAAAAAAGAAATATATATATATATATATATATATATATATATATATTATACTCTAAGAAAATAACATCAATAAAATTATGAAATTTAATAACATAAATATGTAATTTTATCAAAATAAAAATCTAAACAGTCTTGCCCGGCAAATTGAGAAAATTCAACATTTATACAAGTGTTTTTTGCAAAGATGACCTTCATCATGCCAACATGATCCTTGATATTCTTCATCAATATGGTATGGCTTTTGGTCAGCAGGTGAATCTTGATAAATCTTTAATTTTCTTTTCCCAAAAATGCTTCTGAGGTGCTGCAAAATGATATCTGCTATGTGTTGAATGGGATTTCTAGAGTCAAATCTTCTAAATACCTAGAGCTGCCCCTTGGTATTGGTAAATAAAAAAGAGATACCTTTCAATATGTTACAGAATATGTGTTGAGTAGAGTGAAGAGTTGGAAAAATTGTTTTCTGAGTGAGGCTGGGAGGGAAACTCTTATCAAATCCATTTTGGAGGCTTTACCCACATATGTTATGTCTTGCTTCAGACTCCCTCTGTCTGTTTGTTACAATATTTGTAGGGAAATTGCTAGGTTTTGGTGGGGTTCAGGGTCTTTGATATGGGTAAGAACAAAATTCATTGGTGTGGGTGGGAGGTTCTTTCCAAACCTAAAGAGAGTGGGGGTATGGGCTTCAGAAATTTCAAGGTTTTTAATGAGACTCTTTTGTCTAAACAACTTTGGAGAATCATTACTAAACCTAATCTGCTTGTTAGTAGGGTTCTTAAGGGTAAATATTTTTGGAATAAAAAGATTTTTGATGTTTCTTCTAGAAGTAGTGACTCTTGGTTGTGGAAGAGTTGGCTTCAGGCTAGACAATCTTTGAAACTGGGGGTGAGATATCAGGTGGGAAATGGGAAGCTGATTAATATTTGGGATTCACCTTGGTTACCTGATTCTAGAAGTTTTTGGCTTACTGTGCAATTTCCCAGTGATCATATGAGAGTAAAAAAAGTTTGTCAGTTGTTTAAAAGCAATGGCATTGAGTGGGATGAGGACCTTGTGTTGCAGACTTTCTCTCCTGAGGAAGCTAAAATTATTCTGTCTATTCCTATCAGTCAGACTAATGCATATGACAGATTGGTGTGGCATTGGCACCCAAAGGGTATTTTCTCTGTGAAGGAAGTGTATACATTTCTGCTTGAGAAGCAAATGCAGAACCAGAAGGTAGCCAGCACCAGTTCAGGTCATAACACAATGAAGGCACTGTGGAGGAGGACTTGGAAATTACCAGTCAAACGCAAAATAAGAAATTTCATTTGGAAATGCTGGTATGGATTCCTAAGCACTAATACTCAACTGTTGCATAAACACATCCATGTTGATTGCATTTGTAAGGTCTGTGGAGAGGGAATGGAAGATTTAGAACACATCATGTTTAATTGCCAAAGGGCTGTAAAATGTTGGAAGTTGCTGGGTATTCAGTGGGTGCATTTTGTTAGAGCTAACATGAAGTTCAAAGATTGGTGGGGGGATCTTTGCTCTGGGGGGAAGGATAGATGTTTTCAAGATAGGATCAATCTCTCAACCTACATGTTATGGTGGTTGTGGAGAACTAGGAATACTTGGGTGTTTGAGAACATTAAAATGGCAGAAAAGGATGTGGTAGATGGAGCTTGGAGGGAATGGAGAGAATTTGAAGGTGCAGTTGGGCAGATTGCTGATAACAATGATATGGTTGCTGATCTTAGAAGGGATTTAGAGAGGTCAGGGAGAGGGGTAGGGCAGATGTTCTTTACTGTCAGTGCTTGCCTCTTACCTGATTATTCTGTTGCTTTTGGAGCTGTGGTGGAGTCTGTGGAAAAGATACATTTCAGATGACAAGAATACAAGGAAAAAGCTGGGAGTTCTGAAGAAGCTACTCTTAAGGCACTAAGATGAGGGCTGAAACTTCTACATCAGACTGGTTGCAATTCATCATTATGCTGCAGAGTGGATTCTCATCAGACAGCTCTTTTGTTGAATTAGAAGATGGAAGCTGATTGGGAAGTGATGACTATTGTTGCTGATATTGTATCTTTTGCTCAAACTTTCACTGCTTGTAATTTTCAATGTGATAAGTTTGCTTGTTCTTCTTCTTTGTGTTTGGCCTTGGAGTCTTGTAAGAGGACCTAGGTTTGGTCTCTCGTGGCTGTAGTTTGTCCATTTGTGTGGGTTGCTATGTTGCTTGTGCTCATTTGAGTATCCGATGTGTAAGACATTTGTTTGAGTTTTATGTTATGACTTGTTTATTGTTGAAAAAAAAAAAAAAAAAAAGGATGCCAAATCGAGAACAAATTGCTTTGAGGTTTACCAATAAAGTTAAATTTTGCAGACTTGGCCGGCATTAATGGGCCACGAAAAGTAAGTAAAATTCGTGGAAATTTTGGATACAAATAAAAATTTCCCACTTTATTTTGATCATTTTCACAAATAAACATTACGAGAAAAATACCCGTGAATTACATAAGTTCTTGTTAAAAAATTATTCTTAATTTTTAAAATTAATGAGAAAGTAATATTTTAAATTTTATTTATTTTTTTACAAAATATATATTATTATATATTTTAGAATGACATTTGTTACTTGTGTGATTTACATGTCTTATATTATAATAAATTTTATAACTTATATCATATAAGTTATAACTACTTGAAATATAAATATTTTAATTGATAAATAATTTTATTTTTCTAATTAATATTAAAAAATAATTTCATTATTGTTATATGATAAATATAATCTGTTACTTTTACGACTTACATGTGTGTTTTTATTTATTACTTAACTTTCGTCAACTCTCAGGCTCGCCAACACCGACTACTACAACCTCTGGTTCTCGCTCGTCACCGACCTCAATTTAAGTGAGCTCTCAATCTATCCTAGGGACTTAAATCACATGTATGCAGCGGACATGTGGTCCAATAAGTTCATTAGGTTGCGAGTAGAGGTGTGCAAAATTCGACTGAAAAATGTATGTATTAAATTATCATAAATAGTTCATGTTATGTTTTGTGAAAAAAAAAAAAAAAAAAAAAAAAATTGGCTCTGTTACAAGTAATCGGAGTGATCTAAAAAGGAGAATCGATCTCCAAAGTTCCCATGATATACACATGTAATTAACTGGGCTAATTATACAATAATCACCCCTCAAAACCTCGCACTATTAATTAATTTGCTGGATTAACTAACACACACACACACACACACACACACGAGAGAGAGAAAAGAGTTCATAAATAAACAATTAACAACAGCTCGTGAGGCTTCAAACTGAAACCACGGCCGAGAACCCTACTTACTCCTCCCTCAAAATCCTCTGCTGCCTCGCGATAAACGCCTCCACCGTCCGCCGGAACTCCTCGCCGCTCATCTCTTCCTCCGCGAACGAACAACCGCCGCCCGCCGCCCTCCTCCCTCCGTCGCCGTCGCTTTCCCGGCACCTCTCGCTAGCGCTACGCCGCAGATCCCTCCGCACCTCCTCCCTTCGCCCCGCCGCCCTCCCAACGATCTCAGATCTGCACCTGTTCATCTTCCTCTCCGCGCCGACTACGCCATAACCGCCCGCGCCGCCCGCCGCCCTTCTCCCTCCGTCGCCGCTGCTTTCCCGGCACCTCTCGCTCGCGCTCCGCCGCAGATCCCTCCGCACCTCCTCCCCTCGCCCAGCCGCCCTCCCAACGATCTCAGATCCGCACCTGTTCATCTTCCCTCCCGCGCCGACTACGCCATAACCGCACACGCCGCCCGGTCCCCTCCTCTCCTCCTCCCCAATATTCCGCCGATCGTCTCCGCGAGATCTCCTCGTGTACTCGTCGTAGATATCGACGGCCTCCCCGCCGCCGTCCGGGGAGAATCGGCCGGACTTCAGGAGGAGGACGACCACTATCGCGTTTCCGGCCAGGAAAATGAAGCGATGGCTGGCTAGTGCCGCCGGAATTCCCTTGAACCACGCGGCTGACAGATTTGGGTAAAAAGCCAACTGAGTCGAAAATCTGGAAGCGGTTATGAGGAAAATCAAAAGCTCGGCAAAACGGAACAAGGCCGTGATTCGCTGCATCCTCCGCCGCCTCGCGATCGCGTTAGCCTTTTCAGCTTTTGCGTCGTGAAAATTTACTGAATTCATTTTTTTTTT